CACAATAATTGGGGCGCAGTTAATATCTAAAAGACTTACCAAATGCTGATCCAATGTGTCAACAACTGCTAGCTATCCAACAAGCCATACGAGGTAAGTTTTTGTAGCTTTGAAATTTGATCTGTATCCAGTGTAATAAGAATCTGATTATGAATGCCTGGAACTGAGTATGATTCACATACTCATGGTTCAATGTTCAGAAACTTTTGAAAGATAAAATATTGGTTGTTACAGCTAAATCAGTTTACTTGGACAGTGTTTCTCAACAAAATTAAATTTATTTTGTATATTTTCAACAGTTGAGTTTATTCTCATTTGTCATTTATTTTATTGGATGAATTTAAATGCTTCATGAAAGAATTTATGCCAGCAGTTGGACTTGGTCTACACCAGATACAGAAACAGTGGAGCATTTCATGTCTTTTGTACAGACACATCTCTTGCATAACAACAAAGAAGTTTCTTTGATTGTTTTTGGTGGAAATGCTTTGTTGACATTTTTTCTCTATATTTTTAAGGTGTGTGAATGAAGCAACTGTCTTATGGCCAGATAGCTCTTAAATCTAAAATTACCCTACTGAGAAATGAGCAAGAAAAATAACTGTACAAGAGCTGTTGCTGAGATTCTGATTGCAATTCAGGGTGATACACAATCACTGACATTCAAATTTGTTTACAAGTCCATTTGTAGTAAAAGTTAAACAATTATCAATCATTAGATGCACTGCACTGGTGATCGACTCCCTTTAAAAATAAATTTCATAATCAAAGAAAGGAATCTTGTATACTACAGGAAATTGCAATGTATCAGTGAAATATCGTTATCTGTTTAGATTGACATTCAGAATTCTATGCAATCTTTTTGAAGTCTGGGGCATTTAAGTTATTTTTTAATATTATTGCTACTTTAATATATCCGTAAAATATCACAATGTATTTTATTAGAGGAAAGAGCAATTACCTTTTAAGAGATGGCTGTTCAATTCATGAAATGTTCCAAATATACAGAATTTCAAGTTGAGAAAAAACTAGAGGCCTTGGTGAAACCCTGAAGAAAATTATGTGTGTGTTTTATATCTTTGGTGAAATACTAACCAAAATATAAAAGAAGATAAAAATAAAAGTACCAATTTTTAATTACTATATTCAATAAAAGTGAACCTTCACAAATTTAAGTGTGTTGCTTTTTCTTAGATAATGAATTTCCCTTTTGAAATTTTAAATCAAATTTGAATTGTAATGTTGTACATGGGCTGTTTTGTTAAAAATGGAAATTCAGTTGTCAATATTGAGTTTTATTTTAAATTATTATTAAGGAGACGAGGAAAATGTATACAAATAACATGAACTCTAACACCAGTAAGAAAACACTAATCACATAATATTATTTTTTCTAGAAAACATTAGAAACCTCTCTGAGAAGTCAAAATTTGATACAGAATTTATGGTCACTATTTATACTTTATACCTTTATTTCTATAACAGAAAATGTATTATATTTGCTAGAACATTTACAAATTTGTATATTTTCAAATTTATTGGCAAGGGAAGCAACTTTACTCTGAAAATTTTGTTGAAAAATAAGGAAGACTCCTTCGGTAAGTCCAACTGAGGAGGCATTAAAAATAGATTGAACAACAAAATCTTTCTCTAATTGCAAATACTAGATCTGAACAAGTTATAGATTATCGAAAGTAGACAAGAGAAGTGGAGAATACAACAAATAAATGAAGGTTTATGAGAAACCATCATGTGTACTAAGTGTCTCCGGTTAGGATCGGTATTTATTATGTGCATTAAAAAATAATGTAAATTTACTGCGGTTATTTTCCGTGCGACAAATCACCAAATAAGCCTCGTTTATTAGATTAAAGCAATTCCGTAGCCCTATCCCACCCCGTGGCCTAGAACCCTTACTACCAAGGCCGCCTACCTTTTCCTCCAACCCAAGGAGCAACGTGCCACAGACACACACAGACAAGAAGCCAAGAACCCAACGCAACGAAGAACCGCAAAAGTTAACCATAAAAATAAACCAACAACAACCAACAACAGATTACTTGAATTCTTAACCGAACGAGCGAGAAAGAAATAACGAGAAAGAGAGACGAAACGCAATAAGTACCATGTTTACCTCAGCCTCGTAGCTGTCCTGCATGTTCTCGTAGGCGTGGCCGCGGTGGGCCAGCTCGCGCTGCAGCTCGGCCGTGAGGCGGCGCTCCTGGCTGAGGCGCGGGCGCAGCTCGCGCTCCACCTCGTGCGTGAGACGCTCCACGGCGCCGTCCGCCACCGCCAGCGCCTCCGACAGCTGCGCCACCTTGGCCGCCAGCGACGCGCGCTCCTCCTCGGCGCGCCGCAGCGCCACGCTCAGCTCCGACACCGCCTGCGCCCCACGGCCGAGTCAAAGGGGCGGGCGCAAACACAATACGCGACGAGGAGGAACAAGGCGAAGAAGACGAAGTGGATAGAAGAAAGATAAGAAAAAGAAAGGAAAGGAAAGAAGAAAGGATAGAAGGCGAACAAGAAGATAAAAGATGAAAAAGGGGATGGAGGACAAAATATAGAAGAAAGATAAGAGGATAAAGGAAGGAAATAGAAGTGGATAGAAGACGAAGAGGATTCAAAACGAAGGGGATATAAGAAATGTAAAAGGAATAAAATAGAAGGTGAAGAAGAGGATAGATGAACGGGATAGAACAATAAAGTAGAAGAAATACAAGAGGAAGAAGGAAGGAAAAAGAAGGCAAAAAAGAGAGAAGACAAGGGGAAGAGAAGATGAACAGAGTAGAAGAAAAGAGAGAAGAAAAGGGGATAGCGACGAGAAAAAGTATAAAGAAGAAAAAGGAAGAACTAAGAGAAAAGAGGAAGGATGAGAAAGAGAAGAGTACGGGAAAGGTGGAGACAGACGGAAACGAGAGAAAGAAAAATAGATATCAGACAGAAAGTGTACGAGAAAAACAAGAAACAACTCGTTTAGGGTGCAGGAAGGGACTTCGCAATACATAGGAGAAATCAATGTTTTTGATAAGTGGAAGGTTATTATCATGATGCTCAAGCGGATGTGCCTTCTACGACATACCCGCTCGAGCTTCTCTGCCTTTCAAGACGGTATGCTTGAGCGCCTCTAACTAAACTTTCTTCTCGGGCAGATGTGCCTTCCAAGACATACCCGCTCGACCGACTCTTGCCTTGCAACAAGGCATGCTCGAGCGGATCTGTCTTTTGAAGTTGCCCCTCGAAAATCTCTAAAACCTTTTTAAAACTTCTGCTAGAGCGGATGTGCCTTCTAAGACATACCCGCTCGAGCACCTCTGCCTTTCTAGAGGATGTACTCGAGCGGATATGTCTTTTTAAGATACCCGCTCGAAAATCTCTAAAACATCTCTGAAATTTCTGCTCGAGCGGATGTGCCTTCCAAGACACACCCGCTCCAGCTTCTCTTGGATTACAACAAAGCATTCTCGAGCGGATCTGTCTTTTTAAGATACCCGCTCGAAAATCTAAAAAAACAACTCTTTAAACCTCCTGCTCGAGTGGATGTGCCTTCCAAGACATACCCGCTCGAGCGTCTCTTGTCTTGCAACAAGGCATGCTCAAGCGGATCTGTCTTTTTAAGACACCCGCTCAAAAATCCCTAAAACCTCTTTAAAACCTCTGCTCGAGCGGATGTGCCTTCTAAGACATTCCCGCTCGAGCGCCTCTGCTTTCGAAGAGGACGTGCTCGAGCGGACCTGCCTTCCAAGACGCACCTGTTCGAGCTCGTTGACGTCGTGCTCGGCGCGGTGCCGCTGGCGCTGCGCGCTCTCCGCCGCCTCGAGCCGCGCGCGCAGCTCGGCTTCGTTGGCGCGCAGCGCATGCAGCTGGCGCTGGTAACCGCCCTCCAGCTCCGACCACAGCTCGTCCGCCTGCTGCAGCGTCTGCATGTACGCCGTCTCCTTGCGCTCCAGCTCCGTGATGCGGCTCAGCATGTCCATCTCCGCCTGGGTCAGCTGGTGCAGCTTCTGCAGGTACTCTTCCTCCTGGCCCTCCACCGCGTAGTAGCGGCCTTCGCCTTCGCCCGTCGTCACCACCTGCGGCGCCGACAGGTACGGTCAACAATTTTATAACGTTTTCCATTCGCCGCACTGGTGCGCACTCAGGGCAGCTTTTGTGTTTCATTTAACCGTTAGAGCGCACCGCGGGGCAAAGATGCGCATGTTCCATTCGCACAATGCACTCAGGGCGCCCTAACCTGCACTGAAGCTCGTGAGGGCGAGTGTGCATGCGAGGGTGAGTGTGCATGTGAGGGTGAGTGTGTATGCGAGGGCGAGTGTGCATGAGAGGTTGGGTGTGCATGTGAGGGTGAATGTGCATGGGAGGGCGAGTGTGCATGCGATGGCGGGTGTGCATATGAGGGGCTAGTGCGCATGTGAGGGGTTAGAGCGCATGTGAGGGGTTAGTGCGCATGTGAGGGGAGTGTGCATTCTGAGAGGGGGTGTGGCATTTGAGGGGGAGTGTGCATTTGAGGGGGAGTGGTGCATTTGAGGGGAGTGTTGCATGTGAGGGGCGAGTGGTGCATCCGTGAGGGGGACGTGTGCATGTGTCAGGGGAGTGTGCATGCTTGAGGGGGAGTGTGCAAATGTGTAAGGGGGAGTGTGCATTTTGAGGGGGGCAGTGTGCATTTTGAGGGGCGAGTGTGCATTTGGAGGGGGAGTGTGCAATGACGTGAGCGTGGGAGTGATGCGATGTGAGGGAGCAGCGTGCATGTGAGGGGAGAGTGGTGCATGAGAGGGAGAGTTACATGTACGGAGTTGTGCATGTGAGGGGAGTGTGCATGAGGTGAGTGTTGCATTGTGAGGTGCATGGAATGGCACAATGTGTAAACGTAACGAGTACATGGGCTTACTTCTGTGGGCATCTGCATCTGCTTCCTTCTGCCATCTTCTTTGAAGACGCTGAGCTCTCCTCCTCAGCTCGCGGATGGTCTGCTCTGAGCTTCTCCCTCATGTCCTTGGGCGGCCTTATGAGCTCCAGGTAGCCGAGGTGTCTCGGTCTGGATGGCGCGCTCGCTGACGGCAGCGCGCGGCGCGCGAGGCGTCGCCGCCGCGGGCACCTCCAGCTTCAGGCTCTCTGCACTGAGGACGCCGCGTCCTCGCTTCGAACACGTCCTCGGAGGACGGACGAGCCCAAGCGCGCGCCCAAGCGGCTCCGGGAGAGCCCGCGGGCGAGGGCGAGCGAGAGGGCCGGAGAAAGGGCGCGGGCAGGCGCAGGGCCATCTCGACCTCGATGGCTCGCGCGCGCAGCGGGGAGCGCTTGGGGGAGGCGGCGGCCGCAGCGGCCGCCCACCCGGCCTCCGGCGAGCGCGACGGCAGCGCGCCCGGGGGCAGTTGCAGGCAGCGCGGCGCGCACGACGCGCACAGCGCGCTCCACACCTGCGCAGGCGCAAAAACGGTCCGATTGGCGTTGGCCAACAGTAAAACCTGCCTTAAGTGATCCAGTGAAAATGCCCGTTAGCGTTGGCGCCGCTTAAAGAAGGTGGTAATAATAATAATAATAATAATAATAATAATAATAATAATAATAATAATAATAATAATGCTAATGATAATATTTTATTTATAGATTCATACAAGGTCCATTTCCCTTTCTAGTGATGAGAATATGGAAAGCGGACATTCGGTCTACGTTTGTTATGAATTAAAGCGTGCTTTGGTGAGTAATAAATTTTACATTACACATATAGTACAAAATACCGAAAGCTTCTTCGTAAAGTTAGGGTGTACTTTAACATCTTGAATATATATTCGTTTAATTTCATGCATTTGCACATTTTCTCTTTCACACCACTAGTTGTTTCTACCTATTTGTGAACTTGATTCTCATCTAGAATCGAAGCTGCAATGCACGCCCTCAAGAAACTTCAGAGCAGGGTTGAATATCATTTTTAATCTAAGTGAAAGAACAATTAACAACCCCGCGAGAAAAGTCTAGATATCAATGTACAGTAATATGAGGTTATGTATGGATGAAGGAAGATATTGAATCAACAGTCATCTTCACCAGATATTACCTTTCATATAATATCGTAATAAAATCTCAAATTCGTCAGTAAATTGTTATCTTCTGTAGTAAGAACTGCCAATCTACAAAATGTGTCTGGCCTGGGACAGACTAAGAACGCTTAAAAGAGAGAATATTTTCGTTTTCTATTATGAAAAAAATCGATCAGTTCCACGAAAAAATGCCTTTATTGGAAGGAACCGCTTAATCGAGGTGGCCGTTTTAACAGGTATTACAGTAAAACACTAAAAATGACCGTCCCACTTACATAATAATAGAGGGAAGTTACAGGGTGGGGATTTTTGTGCAGAATCGAAGAATGGTTGAGTGAAATTAATTCCAGCTTACGCAACACAATATGAACGAATCCTAAGAATGCTCTCGGAAGTATTCCTTGATTCGGATTCCTTGATTCGGATTCCTTGATTCGGATTCCTTGATTCGGATTCCTTGATTCACAATTCCTTATCCGGATCTTACTATTCGTATTCCTAGATTCGGTTTCTTTGATTGAAAGCGAGGAGGCCTGGCGTACCTGCCAGAGCAGCACCGCGGGCCAGCACGTGTGCAGCAGGTGCAGGTGCTGGCGCAGGTCGGCCTCGCGGCCCTCCAGCTCCGAGTTGCGCGCCTCGCAGCGTGACAGCGCCGCCTTGAGCGTGGACGCCTCGCGCCGCCAGCGCTCGCCCTCGGCCTGCTTGCCGCGCAGCGCCGCCGACGCGCGCCGCTCCTCCTTCAGGCGCAGGTGCAGCTCCAGCTTCTTGTCGATCAGCGTCTGCAGCTTGTGCTCCATCCTGCACGCACACACACAAGGATCATATGCCATTATTACACGCTGTAAGCGGAGACATTTCGTGGCAGACAGTTTTTTATTGTGGAGCATTGTTTTAAACGGGAAAATAATTTAATTCAGGATTAGGAAAGATTTAGAATTAAGATTTGAGAGACGATCAGGGGATGGGCCAGGATTTTTGTTCATTAGTGCCTGCAGCTCGTGCTCCATTCACACATAGCAAGCACTCACACGTGCACACACATATACTATATATCGGAGGTTAAGGGACTAGAGCAATGAAATTTTACGTATTACGCGCCTAAAAAATAATAGAAGCAGAGAAAAGGCGATAAACATTTCAAAATAGGAGGGAAGTAGCACTAATATCTGTCACAGCACTTTTCCCAAAATAAGATGCGTTTTTATTTCAAACAATGCTCTACACTACGTATTTACTTCGTTTAAGATAAAATGATAAACATTTAAAAAGAAAAATGTATCATTAAAGAAATATACATCAACAAAAAAATAAAACGCGAGTTAGGGTAATTTTTCGTAATTTTTGCACCTTGTGTACAATAAATATTATTTAAAAATTATGTTTTGTCATTTGTCGCACCTTTGTATATATACTACTAGTGGACCCGGCAATACTTCGCTATTGCAATGTATTACACTTCACTCGCTACTGGTCAGTGATTGTTAACCACGTTTTGCTCTACGCTCTGCAAAAATTTTAATAGAAGAAAGACTTTCTCGCGAGCATGGGCCTGTTCTATGACCTGATTTGGACATGGTTGTCATGTATCCTATTGATAAAACGTTCTCCCTCAAGCTTGGATATCCATTCTCTACGACACTGTCTTGGATAATTTGATTTACGTGTCCGCGATAACGCTCAAGTAATAATTCTGGCCGATACTTCAGAATCGCAGGGTGAGAATATGCAGCGACGACCCGCTTAATACTTGAGGGTGCGGCGGGTTGCCTACAGCTTCTGTTCAGGAGCGTCTGAGTCAGCCTAAACGCATTATATCATAAAGACCGTCCCCATTTTGCGTGTTTGTGCGACAGACATACGCACATTTCTATTGTACCATGCCTATATTTTCCGCGCTAGTTGACAAAGTTTTATCGCAATCGGATGAACGGCAAGGCAGAGCATAAAATACAAACATTGCTTCTTTATTCAACAGAGTCTATAGCTTAACTGGCTAACCGTCCGAGTCTCTTCCTTTGTCTCTCACTCCGAAATCTGACACACAGCAATGGATCGCTAAAAGTGAAACGGATGCCAAAGGTATTTCATTCGTTGCCAAATCGTCAATACAAGAAGTGGTGTTTCCAGACATGGGTTGCGAGTTAAGCTAAAGACCCTGTATGTATATGTATATGTATATGTATATGTATATGTATATGTATATGTATATGTATATGTATATGTATATGTGTGCGTGTATATGTGTAGATATGTGTGTGTGCGTGTGCGCGTGCGCGCGTGTGTGTGTGGTGTGTAGGCGCGCCGCTGACTCACTTCTGGCAGCGCAGCCTGGTGTCGTTCTCGGCCTCCTCGAGCTCGCAGCGCTGCTCCTCCAGGCGCGCGTTGTCCGCCTGCAGGCGCGCCACCTTCTCGCCCAGCTGCTCCACCTGCGCCGCCAGGCTGAGCTCGCGCTGCAGGCGCTCGGCCAGCAGGCGCACCTGCGCGTCACCGCTGCTCTCATACACCAGCACCTTGTCCTCTAGGCGGCGCAGCTGGTCGCGGCACACCGCCAGCTCCGTCGCGCTCACGCCGCCGCCCTCGTCCTTCTGCTGCTGGGGGGCACACGACCACACGAAACCTTGCTACATTTTCCTCTCGATATGGGAGTTTCCAAGTCAAAGGGCGTTTACACACAACATGCAAAGGGTCCATTCTGCCCAGGGGTAAGAAACCTTTGCCCTCATCCTTCAGCAGTTGGGGATCAAACGACGGGACACATTGCTACAGTTTGTCTCGATTTGCAAGTTGGTTTGGGTAGGATTTTGGTATGTATATGATTTTAATTCAAGGTCGAAGGGCCTTTTTTAACATTCCTTGAAGACGACCTAACTAGAAACCTAACGAGTGCGTGGCCAGAAACGTAAAAAATCTGTGCGTTTTCTTGAGCTCTAGATTGACTGCTTTTACTTCACTCTTTTACTTTAACGAGTTGAGTAATGAATATAGGTACCAACAAAGTTTTGAATACTGGAAATGTTCGCTCCTTAGTAAAACCCGAGAAATACTTATTTACTTAGCAAAAGAGATTTGATTTTTTCGTACTGCTAACAAAACAACTCCTGCCTAACAAGTGGCAAAGGAGAGCACAGCAAAATGGTACGCATAGTGAAGCTACATTTATGTCCGGAAGCAAAACAAGGTGCCATATCGGCATTTGCTCAAGGGATTAGAGAAACTGGACAAAAATCTGATCGAGATGGGTGGCCCTTGGCTCACCCGAGATGGATAGCTTGCCCGTGTATGTAAGTACATTAAAACTACACTGTATGTAACATTATTTTAACAAATACAAAAGTTTGGCTAAGCAAATGAGTTGTAATAATAATAAATAATTAATAACAATCAATAACTCCTGTCCCTTTCGGTTCATGATGACCTGATTTTAAAGTCCAATCACACATTATATATCGTCACTTAAATCATTTAACTACCCCCATTTGCAAAAAGCTCGCACCGATGTCTGTAGCAAAAGCACCGAAAGAGATTTTCGTCCTAATAAACATACACAGGTGTTTTCTCACCGTCACCGTCACCGTCAGCTGGGTGCTAGGAATAGGCAACAGGCCGTAGCAAAGCGATGACTTTGGGTAAACGGCGAAGTACCGCACAAAGCGTTGTGTTAGTACTCACTGTTTCCTACTCCCATGCGCAGTATCGTGCGTTCGCGTTCAGTGTCACACATTACCTTAAGCACACATTATCGTGCGGGTACAAAGCGTACGTAAGTACGTTAATGTGGGCAATGCATTCTATCATACGACAGTGTTTCATTATTCTCTGACTAGTCGTATTACCAATACATTCGTTCTTTGATAATTTCAAAACGGCTATTTTGAATATTTTTGCAAAAAATTGCTTAATAACGGATAAAAGAAGTTCATCTTATAGGTTCGAAGATAATTTTCAATAACTGTGTGATAGCACGAGATTCCCCTACTTGAACTAATGAAAACCTGTTATGCACTAGGCCACGCCCAGTTCTCATCTGCGGCGTCCAGTGTGTCCCTCTCCTAGTTAAGTCTACCCGACGGGAGGACAGCGGTGGTGCTCGGGTGCGATTGCCTCTAGCTGGTGAAAGACGAGCACGCGGACTACTGCGGGGAATCTGGCCCTAGCTGTCCACGCAGGGAGGGGGTGGAATCGATTGTGGAGATCACGGTTCTTGGCGGAGGGTTGTAAACGGCCACCTGTGCCCCGAGTTTTACCGAGGCACTCATGTCGATAGCTTCAAGATGGGGCCAGTGAGGAGACGGATTGGAGGCCTCGGAAACCTCCAGTTAAGCGCTTGGCTTCGTTGTGGGAGTGACCCGATAACAGGCACGGAGGAGGGACTTCCCTCCCCCGGTGCACTGGAAGTGGCGCATTGATTCCACTCCAGTACTGACCTGGAGAGCTAGTAACTCCCAGGTGGCAGGGTGGCCCGACCCAGGCATTGAATGGGAAACTACCCGAGAGAGGTAACTGCGTTCTGGCGGAACAGATAGATGCCACCGTGAAGGTGTTCTAGCACTGGATGGGGGTGCGGAGTCCAAGATCCTAGGTGCCCACCCCGGGGAGCAATTGTACTGGTAGAATAAGGAATTGGGTGGAGTTGTAGACCACGCGGGGTGTGACCATACTGTCCCTAGCTGCAGCCTTGACACACACTACACTACACTACACTACAGCACTTGCTATAACTTACCTTGATGCACTCGCGATACTGTTTGAGCTTCTTGATCTCGGCCTTGAGCTCCGCGTGGCTGGGGATGAGGTCCCCTTCGGTCTGCGTGCCGCGCGAGCAGAAGTCGCTGACGGAGTCGCCCTCGAAGATGCCGCTCTCCTGCAGGCACTCGGCGTTCTTCAGCTGCTTCGCCAGGCTCTCCTCGTCCGTGAGGTGCCTGTCGTGCTCCAGGAGCGCGTGCGATGGAAGATCGGTCAAGTGCGGGAAGTGGCTGAACGGGGGTCGACTAGATAATTTTGGCAGGAGGTGGGTACTATAATCCGAATGGCTCTTTAGTAAATCCTGGAAAAGAATGGTAAGACTTTGCTGTAAGGGGCAATAAGAAGCACACATAAAGCAGCACATATATAGCATGATATGTATGAATATTTACAGGATGAAAAAGTAAGCATTTCTAAAAATTCCTCGTTTGATTGGACCAATACAAATTTGTACAATAGAATTTTCACTAATCTGTACCTTTACCAGTTTGATCTTATTTCAGACTGCCAATTTTCTGGTCAAGTAGCACGAGATTCACCGAACAGATTGAAATGAAATTTTAAATTAGCACTTCATTGTGAATTTGTTTCATATCTTTATTTAATATTTTGATGGTTATTTGTGCAAACAGGATGAGCGCTGTTTGAAAATCGTGGTTGCATTTGAGGTATTGAAATGAATTCAAATAATGAAAGGACTGAACGGGAACAAAAACATTGCAAAGGAGGGATGGAGAAGAGTGTGAATACAGGAAAAGACAAAAAATTAAATAGAAATACAATAATTAAGGTCACAAAGAGATCATGAGGTAATTCAATAGCATTGGAAGTTACCTGGATGCATGCAAAATCTAAATACACTGGAAATAGATCAGGAAATGAAAAATATAGAAACACTAGAATCAGTGCCAATGTTGTAAAAAGATGTGATCTCAATTTCTCCCGACTGTGTTCGTTAACGCTGATTAAAGTTGTTTTTTGCTCTCGATTAGACAGTTTTTCAAAGCTTTTAATAAAAAGACTTTAGAAAATGAGTTCCGTAGCCCTCTTCAACTACGTTATTCTTCTATATTGTGTTATAATCACACAACAACGTACTTGAAGAGGGTTAACTATTATATATTCGCATATAATAATAAATAATATGTGAAAAGGTAACATTTTGAACTGCTAAACACGTTCCTCAAGTCCGTTACCAGCGCCAATGAGGAACATTTGCCCAAAGCAGTAAGTTCTTCTCTCTATCCATTCGACGAGAGAAAATTCCGGCGAGAGGGGGCCTACAGATTCCATTAGAAGGCCGTCGGCTGGAGGGGAGAGGCACTCACCAGCTTGTCGTGCGTTCCGCCGGCGTCGCTGTCGCTGGCGACGTCCTCGCTGGTGGGCAGCGACAGCACCCCTGAGTCGCTCACGTCTTCGTTCTCCGTGTCGGTGCACACGTCTCGCGTGTCGTGGCTGCCGCCGCCCGGGCTCCGAGGGGTTCGCTGCGCCCACACCACCAACCACGTCAGACACACCGACTCGTACCACCACACCTCACGCCAGCCACACCTCACCGGCATATCGTTGCCATAACACTTCCAATCACACCCTCCAAAAGCATCAACGCCGCCACGGTGCCACACCAAACCAACAGACACCACAACTCCTACCACAACCACAGAAACATACACCAGCACATTGTTGCCATCACACCTTCAATCGCACCCACCAAAAGCATCAACGCCGCCACGGGGCCACACCAAACCAACAGACAGCACAACGCCAACCACATCCGCAAAACCACACCCCCACCAGCACACCTCAAAACGCAAACTTACGCCAACAACAGAATCAAGATCGCCACCAAACAAACAGACATCACATCAATCACATTTGCAAAAGTATCTCCGTTACACCGCGCCGACTCAGTACCACTACACCTCAGCAAACCCCGTCAAATCACAACCATCAACACATCACACCAACCCATTCTGCAAAAACCCTCACCGATACGTCGATACCATCACATCTCCAATCCAATAGGCACCACCGAACCAGAACCAATAACAAATCATACCAACCACATTCACAAAAAACACTGCCGACATATCAATACAACCACGCTTCCATTCCGACAGACGCACCATACCTCAGCTACTAACCGGTATTGCAAAACATCAGCATCACCACGTCGTCACCGAATCAACATTACCACGCAGGGATGATTTAAAAATTAGCACACCCTCTGCCAAGTAGCTGCTCGCAATAATGTTTTTCCACACATTTTATGTTCATTTATAAATATTTAAATAATAATATTAATTTTTAAGTTCCAAATTTTACACTAGTATTTTATTTTCGTATTCATTTTTGTATTTCGTATTTATCTATTGATGTATCAATATTCTTGTGGGTGTTCCGCAGTTCAGTCTTGCTTAGGGTCTCGGCCCTGTTACCACGGCGCCAACCACCTCCAAAAATCTCAAAGCACAGACAGATCGGTTCCATTCAACATTCATCCAACAGACACCACCACACCAAACTAATAGACATTACCATATCTCCAACGTAATCCGCAAATCAACACACACCGCTCAATACACCCCGCTCAACACACCCCGCTCAACACACCCCGCTCAACACACACCATTCACCACGCAAGCACAATATCAACTACACCAAAACATCACAATGCTTCCACAGTACGAATCCAATATATACTTCCCCATTCAGCCACATCAAACTACATCGTCACCATCTATATTCACAAAAACACTTCATTCCAACACTTCAAATCCACCCCGCCACATTTAACCACCAGCCAACCCTATCTCGCAACAATACAAACATCACATCTCACAATTCAGTACGGCGTCATCACGTCCCACTGTAAGTCACTTCAATACCAATACACCGTCACATAGCCAACTTCAAAAGAATCACTTCATAGCTGCAAGGCGGCAACAGGCATCACAAAGCATCAGTCACATTCACACCTCCACATGTCATCAATCATCTTCTCCAGAACAGCAAAAGATACCATCACAACACAACCATCACACCTATTTCGCAACAACCAACCGACCACATCAGCACACTTGCATAAAACCAACAGCCACTTTAGTCACCAGCATACCTCCACCATAGATGCTATCAACCTGAGACTGCTCATTCCTCAGTGTCATCCTGCACAACTACACCACCACATGGCAGCATGGCATAGAGCCGAGAATCATGCCTCGGGGAAGATAAAACATATGTTTGTTCATTTGCAATTTTAATTCAGAAAAAAGAAATCGCGATAAATATAATAAACTAAAACATGATTTCTATTTTTTCTCCAAGTAATATGACATTGTAAGATATACGACTAAATTATATTTTTCTGCTTTAAGTCACATGACTGTTACGTTAGAAGATAGGTGGACCTAGATGAAATAAAGTTGAAAATATTCAGTGATATTTTTGAGAATGGTTAAATTAAAACACGATTTCTCAGAAAACTTTAACATTTGCTATTGATTATTTTTAATAATTAAACTGTAATAACTCAAATTTGATAGCTATCTCATAGGTAAAACATTTACATTTCAATACTTCACTTCATCGTTCACTTCAAGAACGAACAATAGAGAAGTTAGTGAACTGAATCAGAAGCACATCCTAAAGCACGTTAAAGAAGAAAAGTCATACTATTTATTAACTACTTATTGACAACAATGACCTTGTAATATGCAAACTGTTTAAATTCGGATTTTCTCTCTCTCAAGATTGTGATGCGATTCAGGAGTTAAAATATCACAGGCATGCGTGTATAATTGGGTAGCTTTTGAACTATACATCTACAATTCGATTGTTTTAGAACAAAAGCTTTACTCAAATTAATATAGAAATGCATTAAAGTTGTATTTTTAATTACTTTTAAAGGCCATAAATATATATTTACGAACGTAAGTGGTAATGCAAATAATGATCTTTCTCGGATTTCAATATTTCAACCGACATAATCTTCTCGGGTTCGATGCCATGCCTTTCAAATGTGTTAAGTAGTGAAAACATGCTTGGAGCCAAGCATACTTGTCTCTTTCTGAAAATAATAGACATTTCCAACCTTGCAGGAAATGAAGATGGTGAGAGGTAATGTGACTATCACCATTATTAATCATTAAGAAGCCAATGACGGAAAAACGAGAATAAATCAGCACTATAATTTTCAATTGCCGAATCTGGGTAAATATTCATGACAATATTTGCCACTTCTACTGCATTTGTAAATGTTTTGTCGATGCCATCAATTTTGTCTTTCAATTACGTCCAATTAGTTCGAATTTTCAGTTGGTGCCAATCCGAGGATGCCTTTAACTCATTGCATCAATCATTAAATTAGTTGATATAATCAGAAAATTTCATTTCAATCGGAACAGTGAAGAAATATCACTTAT